ACGAAAGAGGAGAATCTGGAGGAAGTCAGTAGAGAAATATAGAAAATGCTCATGGAATTGTGGCTAAGAGGTCACACAGTGTGTCATTTGCTAGATGGATAACCGGGAGTCACTGGTTTAGTTCTAATCCAAACCTGGAGACCTGAGGGCCAGAGGAGTGAGGGCCAAAGGACAGCAAAGGTTGTCGTCCCAGTTCAAGAACATGAATTTGTCCTCCTCCTCCTATTTGTTTAATGTGGGGCTAAATGGGTTGGATGATGCCAGCTGATACTGAGGAAGGTGAATGTCTGTACCATATACTAATTCTAGCACAATCTCATCTGAAAACACACACACACACACACACACACACACACACACACACACACACACACACTTTTTCCAGCTGTCTGGGCATCCCTTAGGCTTGTCAATTTGACACATAAGATGATACACTCCAGAAGCTATATTAAAAAAATAATTACTGTTTGGCTTTCAACTTGTAAATTTTGATTCATTAGCAGACTGTGAACTCCAAGTAGTGCTTTTGGAAAAAAAAATCAATACAACAAAATAGAAAGTATCTGTGTACAGGGTGTGTATTAAGGCCACTATTATTTCATCAGCATCTGAATATGACTTTACATGGGAAGACACTGTGTGCCTGGCTCACAATGTGTATTTCTTACTGTATGTGACAGTTCAAACAAGAGCATAAGACTCTGACTTATGGTCAACTCCCTGTAAAACCGCAGGGCATGTCTAGCAAGCCCATTACATGAATCTCCTTTTGCTGAAACAGAAATTATCAAGTGCTTGGCGGGCAAGCAGGAGCCCTTTCCCTGTGCTCTGCCATGGAAAAGGCACACCTGGCGTGTGATACTATTAATAATGACCAACATCAATGGACAGCCCATGTTCCAACTCCCCTATGAAGGAGACCAGATTGTCTTATTTTATAGATGTAGGCAGGAGGGCATCACTTTCCCAGGACTGTGGAGATAACAGGTGGCACAGTACACCTTGAAAGTCAGCGGAACCCCTACCTTTTGATTCAGCTTGTTTCCCATTGGGCCTTGCTAAGACTGTGAACTTTGTGGTGTAAATTCTCTCCTTTGGTATATGTCTGTAGATTGTTTAGTATTCTTTCTATCTGTCACTTCGACTACCCAAACTTCATGGTATTAAGCAACCTTACTTCACTGCACTTTGCAGAGATGGGGGATCAGGAATTTGGTCACATTATCACGGGGCTGGCAGTTCTATGATACTTGGAGGGTATTTGAGGGTTGGGCATGCCAACCATCTGGAGGCATCTTCATTTCCCTGTCTGGTGCCTGGACTGAGATGCCAGCAAGGCTGAGACTGTTAACCTCAGCATATCTTCTCAAGGTCTCCATCCATGTTCCTGGGCTTGGTTCTGGGGAAGCTTTCTCCTTCAGAGGGAACACTGAAGGCAAGCACTCCAATTGAATCAGATGTACTGCCAGCCTTTTACCAACTAGCCTCAGAGTGTTACCTATCAATTCTTTCATTGTTTTCTCTCAGCTGGCAAATCCATCCAGATCACCAAGGAGAGAACACAGGCTTCACTTCTTGATATAAAAAAGAAAAACTCTCAATTTTCTTAGTTTCTAACCAGTACGTGCAAGCTCCTTGTTGTTGGGACAACTGGATTTCCCTTGGTGTGGGAGAGTAAGTGGCTCAAATTCTTCATGATGCATAGGGCACTTTGTGGTTAATAATCTACTGTTCATTATAATGATCCGTAGTCCCTATAAGAGTAAATGAGCTGGAACCACAGATATATTTACTGCCTTAATTTAGTCACTAGCATTAGGCTTATTTTAAAGTATTCTCTCTCCATTTGGATGGAATTTCTTTTATCCCAGCTTATCTTCAACGTCAATAAGTTTAGCACTCCTCAACAGCTGGAAGCCCAGATATTATACATCTCCTCTCCTATTAATCTTCTGTAAGTTGATCTTTATAGCTATGGAGCCCATTCATCACTGCAAGCTGTCCGCTTACATTTGTATGGTCTTCCATTTAGCTAACTGAACTCTATTTCTTTATCTAGACTAAAGTTCTTTGTCATTTTAATAGTTTATAGAGTTCTCCCTCTGAGCTGCCTCTAAGTGTCAGATTGTCCACAAAGAACAAATGGATGCCAATAATGTCCCCTCGTTATGCTTCCTCTTAACCCATTTCTAAGGCTCTTTGGTAAAGTTATCTCCAAGAATCACAAGGCATTCCATGTTCTGTAAGGCCACTTACAATCTGGCAGTTTATCTCCGAAGAGAACCAGACACCACCCTTCAATTATGGATCTCATCCTACAAAACTTGGCCTTATTCACCTACATTTTCCTGAATTTCTACAGGCAAAGCACAATGAAAGGGTTTTAAAAACTCAGTGTAATAGGATATTATGACACAGTGAAGGACAATGGGGTTGACAGAGCAAAGAGAGAAAGGAAACAGCAAAGACAGAAAGGGGGAGTGGGTCCTTGGTTCAGCTCTTAAATGCCCACCGGAGGCCCCCATGCCAAAGGCTTGGTCCTCGCCCTTCTGCACTGTTGGGAGGCGACAGAACCTCTAAAGTGTGGGGGTGGGGTAACAGGAAGCTGGGTCACTGAGAGGAGTGGCAGGTGGAAGCTGGGTCACTGGGGATGTGCCCTAGAAGGAGACATCATGACCTTGTTCCGTCTTCTCTCTGCTTCCCAGCCACCATGAGGAGAGTGACTTTGCTGCACTGTGAGGTCCCCACCACGACCTTATTACCTATCTGTTGCTCCAAAGCCATAGAACCCAAGGGACCACGGAGAACCTCCAAAACCTTTCTTTCTCTAAACTGGGGCTTCTCGGGTGCTTTCCCCGAGAAGATGCAAAGATGACAGAGACAATGCAGCTCCCATCAGAAAAAGCTAGGGAAGCCCTGAGCCCCTGGGTGTGTGTTTCTGGGGTTGGGGTATGGTTCTCATTATAGATGAGAACAGAGAGCAACTAGGGCATGAAAAATCCAAACGGGGATGTCATTATCAAGGTGCGGGATGCCCCAGCTCTAGGGCACACATGCCTCTGTCTTTCTGGGCCCAGGCAAGGATGAGCATGCGAGCAAGTTCAAGTCACCCGGCGCAGCTGCTGGGCTGGCAAATGATTGGGAGTCACAGTGCAGGGCAAACTTTCTTGGGAGAATGGTTTTTGCTTGCTCATTCTAAAGTAGTTTACAGAGCATGGGGCTGGGCAATGGTGAGAATGTCACAAGGGGAGTCAAAACTGAAGACGGACCCCAGCTCAATCCTTGCAACTATCAGGATGCCTGACAGCTGCCACCACGAATGTGGGGTGGGCAGGCTGCTGGAGACAGCTTACACAGAGTCAGGGCAGCCGGGCATTTTCTAGTCACCGTGGCTAGTTTGGCTGGGAAGGTGGATACAGAGTAACATTTCCTTCCAGTCTTCGAAGGAGCCGTGTGATAAGGAGAGCCAGGTCCAGAGGGTTCTGCAGAAGCCTGCCTATAAGCGCCTGCATGCCTCTGTGAGAAGAGCCTTTCTGCTTCCTGTACATTCAGCTTCTTCTGCAAACAAAGCAGGGGAGGCCCCTTCCAACCTCTGAAAACAAGGCTGCAAATCTCTCTGGGCTTCTTCCATCGTTTTGTTTTTCCCATACGGAAGGCTAAGAGCTCGCCGTGCTTCTCAGCCTTTCTAGGCCACGCACTCTACATGCATAAATGCCTCCTAGCAGCTCCAACAGAGGACTCCAGCCACCACTCCCAGTTTTGGTTTGGTTTTTTCCCCATTGAGAAGATGGGGCACAGAGCTACCAAGTCATTTGCCTGAGCGCCCACCACTGGAGGTGAAGAACGGAGACCATGGTCTTCATCTTGGTCCATCTAACTCAGCTACTGCATAGCACTGCTCCCGGAAGCACTCACCTCTGCTCTGCCACGTGGAAGGATAAGATACACAGAGAGGCTGGGTACCCTGAGCCTGTCCTTTGGATGCTGCACTATTGAAAAGCAGGCAGGAACCAATCTTAAATACACGATACTTTAAGCATAGACCAAGGCTTGATACTTCAGCATTAATTTCATGCTGTGCGTGTACTCCAACTGCATCACTAGGGGAAAATTTGGTTCTCTTGGAGGATGCCACGCCCCACCCTCAAGACTCCAATTACCTCTGAGGCCTATAACCTGAACTTGGGTTCCTAAAGCGAAGAACTGAACTGAAGCCCTTGGAATTCTGTTTGTTCCTTTTTCTCTTCTGGAGGGACAAGCATCAGTCACATTTGGCAGAGTCTGTGACAGTGTTGCTTACCTCAGGGTGTATCAACAGCCCTCCCACCACCAACAACGGGGACACGTTTTTTGGTTCTCTCCCAAGCCAAGCAGCACAGGTGAAGCCCTTAGCACAGGTCTGGGGACCAGGATGCTCGGAAAATTACATTAGTTAAGGGGACACTAAGGGATGGAAACTGACATCGCCATCATGTTTTTGAGTGGGGTGGATGAAAGACGGGGAAATTCTGATACCTCTGGAGGCTGACGATGGTTTGTTACACTAGTCTCCTCCTTTGCCTTAAAAAAAACAATAAAAAGTTTTTAAAATATGAAAAAAATCAAAATCTTTGCACCAAGACGCAAATGACTGAGTCAAGCCATGGAATTACTTTTCCGACAGAAATGCCTATGGAAGTCTGGCAGATCTCACCTGCCCAACTCCCCAACCTTTATGGTCCCCTAGAGCAGAACAGGTGCCACTCGAGGCAAGTCACAAAGGGCTCAGACCCCACTACCACCTCTCAGATGGCTCTCCCTCGCCAGTGCCTTCGGGTGCTCAGATCTGTTCGCGGGTGGAGGTGGGTCGGGCTGGCTGGTCTGGGGCAGAGGTGTGTCGGCACCGAGGGAGGCGGCGGGCGCGGGCCGCTGGGAGCCAGGCAGCTGAGGCGGGGAGTCTAGCACGTTCCTGGGGTGGCTGGCGGACGCGGGGGTGGGTGGAGACGATCACGATTGAGGAGGAGCACACAGGCGCACTCACCGCCTTCCTCCTTCCCTTCCTCTTCCTCCCACCCCGCCCCCGGGGGGCGGAACCCTGGTCCCTGGGGGAGGTCTGCACCCCCGGAGGGTGGCGCCCCGGAAGGGGCGGCTGCGGTGGGTGGCGGACGCCGCGGGCCCTCCCCCGCGCTCCCTTGCTGCCTCCCCCTGCTCCCCGCCCCTCCTCCTCTCCATCCTCCCCATCCTCCTCCTCCTGGTCCCCGGCAGCGGCGGTTAGGGGAGCAGCCGGCGGCACCGGGGCCGCTCAGCCTTTGTCTCGGGCCGCCGGGCGCGCCGGGCCCAGCGCAGCGTAAGTGATGGGGGCCGGGACCGAGCCGCGGGGGGCTCGGCGGGGCGGGCCCTGGCGCGGGCGCTGCCGGGGGAGGAGGGAGTGGAGGGGGAGGCCGGGCCGGAGGAACCTCCGCCGAGATGCTCGGGCGGCGCCGGCGCGGGGGCTCAGAGGGGCGCGTGGCCGGCTCGTGGGGCGCCGCAGCCTCGCGCCCGCGGACGTGCGGCTTGGGTGCAAATCCTGTTTCTCCGGGCAGAGGCCATGCGGGGACTGCGGAGGCTGCGAGGACTGGCAGTCATGGAAAAAACGGGAGAGGAGCCGGCCCAGCGTCACCGCCGCCACTGTCACCACCATCACCATCACCACCATCACCGATCGCCGCCCATCCCACTACCCCGCCTCATCCCCCATCTCATCTCCCCGTGCACCGCCAACTTTGTCAGACCATTCCCTTTGCATCGGGTAATACTTGGACAGAACGATCGCGAGTAAGCGCAGCTGCTGTGGGATGTTCATCTGACAGGCCACTGGGCTGCCTCGGTTTTCCTGTCAGGGAAAGGGGCCTGCGATGCCGCCTCTGCATAGCCACTGAGGTGGCTCGATGTCTGGACGTTTAATCCTGGTGCTAGAAGGGACTGAGGCGTGTCTCACTTGTTAATGATGAAAAGTGACACCATAGTAATGTCCTCACCAAACCAGAGACTTGGGGCTTAAGACTTCACCTCTTATCTTTTAAGTGTCGAAGTATTAATAGCAAATGGAAACTTAGGGAAATGAAACTTTGACCAAGCTATTCCAAAAAAACAAAAAAGTAGCAAAATCAGGTGTTTTGTAGGAAAATCACTTGGGCTTGCTAAGGGTAGTGTCGGTCAGGGGTGGACAGCGTCCCTTTAGTGCCGCATCTCTGGTGAAACTCATTACTTTGGGTAAATAATATGTACCCCCGGGTGCTTTTCACCCCCCCAAGAACGTTTTAATTACTGGGTTTCGAAAGTGCCTTTTGCCAGCTCAGCACAGAACAGTGGGGACAAGCATATTCCTAGAACGAGCCTGAGAGCCTGAGCATCTGGCTCCCTTTGAAGACACAGGAAGATGCTAAGCCCATTCTTTAGTTCTCTTGTCTTTACTGGAACTTTTGGGGAACCCCACTTGAGTTGTCACATGTTATGGGGACAATACAGATTCCTTTTTTTAAAGACCCTCAATCTTGTTAATAAAAAAAAAATTAAGAGTGATCCCAGAAGGCAACTCGAGGACAATTTTATTTGAGTTTATTTTATTTGAATTCCAGTGCAGGCAAGGCATAAATCTCAACAGTTTCCAGGAGGTGGAAGTCCCAGATGAGGTAGAGAGAGGGCTCTCCTCCATGACCGAAGTGGGTCTCAGGGACAGCTTCAGAAAAGAAGAGGAAAGAAGCCCAGGGCGTTCCGGGCTGCAAGCTGGGGCTTTTGGCAAGTATGTGAAAGGATGAAAAAGCAAGGAAAAGGGAAAGTTATGTTTTGTAAGTGATTCAGTGAATCTGTAACAGAGCCACACAGCCAGGAGTTTCCGGGAAGGAAAAGGAATAATTATTCCTCCCATCTCTTTGGCATGGCTTAAGGTGACTCTGTCTTCCTGAGGAGTGGTCTCTTGGGCCAGGTGACCAGTGGGCCCAGCTGAACTAACTCTTGTATTCTGGGTAGCTTGAAACCTTCATTCTCCATCCAAGGCCGGGGGTAAATCCCACTCTTTTGACCAGGAGGAAATATCTTTTCCTTAAAGGCCTTGACATATTCCTGGTCTAACTATTATAATAGTCTGTCCTCTGAAGAGAGAGCCCTAGGTCTGTGAGGGTGATCCTCATGATGTGGCTCACCGTGTATCCTGTACCAAGTAGGAAAAATGGCATTGTTAAAAATAATCTGGGGGTGAGAGTAGTCAGTGTGCCTCCTATACATGTGTGAAATTACTGATTTTTTTTTATTTTGTTTTCAAGACAGGGTTTCTCTGTGTAGCCCTACTCTGGCTATCCTGGAACTCACTCTGTAGACCAGGCCAGCCTCAAACTCATAGAGATCCGCCTGCCTCTGCCTCCTGAGTGCTGGAATTAAAGGCATGTGCCACCAACGCCCAGTTTCCATGGACAGATTTTTAAACTCGTAAAAAAGAAAAATAATTTTAAGACATAAAATAATAACAATAATGACGATCTAGCTGAGCAGCACTTGTCACTGACATAGTTGGAAATATTCCCGATGCTGAAGTGTAATTGTGCTTCATGGACTCAGACCCCTGCACCCAATTTATGAAATGGGGTTTCAAAATAGCAATTTTGTGGAGAAAGGTTTTTCTTGTCTAAAAATGTTTCAAATCCCTCATTTAAGTGAGGCACAGTCGGCCACACATACTCCCATTTCAGAGTGGAAACTACCTTACTGTGTTTTAAACTGCAGCTCTCTAGGAAAGATTCAGCATCTTAGTAGATTCTCATGCCTTTGCCTGTATTTTAGCTTTTGCTGCTGCTGTAACTAAATACCGTAGACAAGATACTTTATAAACAATGGACATTTTTCTTCCTTATTCTTTATTGTCCCACTCGCCTTCCGTCCTCTCCTCTCCCTTTTATACCAAGAAAAGTAAAAGACCTAGAGACTGGTATTGGGGTTCAAACTTCAAGCTGAGGATTAGAAAAGCAAAGTAGCGGGCCACTAGCTCTTAGCACTGCCTCTCCTCCATGGAAAATCCTGAGACTGAATGTCTTCCTAACCTCAGTATGGCTGATACTGAGACCTTGCTCCTGTCTTAGATACCTCCCTGGTGCTGGGACTAAAGGCATGTGATCCCCAGTGCTAAGAGCATCTTTGTGTGGGCTTTTTCTCTTTAGGACTAGATCAGTCTTGTGTAGATCTGGGTGGTCTTGAATTTACAGAGATTCCTTACAGAGCTGCCTCTTAATCCTGAGTCCTAGGATTAACGGTGTGTATCACCACCTCTTAGCTTCTGGCTGCTGGGATTAAAGGTGTGTGCCTGGCTTCTATGACTTGTGGCTGACTCTGCTTTCTGAATCCTCAGGCAAACCTTAACAAATCATAAATAATACATCAGCACACCCGCCCCTTACACCCTCCTCATTATCCCCCATGCTCCCAATTTACTTAGGAGATCTTGTCTTTTTCCCCTTCCTAGGAGGATCCATGTATGTCTCTCTTAGTGTCCTCCTCGTTACCTAGGGTCTCTGAGGCTGTGGCCTGTAGGCTGATTGTCCTTTGCTTCATGTCTAATATCCACTTATGAGTGAGTACAAACTATATTTGTCTTTCTGGGTCTGGGTTACCGCACTCGGGATGACTTTTTCTACTTCTGTCCATTTGCCTGCAAATTTCAAGATGTCATTTTTTTGTTGTTGTTTGTTTGCTTTCCCGATGAATAGTATTCCATTGAAACAACAGGAATTTCTTACTCAGACGTGTACAGTTATAACACCAGGTTAGCATCTGGTGATAGCTGGCTCTCTGATTCATAGATGGTACCTTTATTTAGGCCTTGTGTGACACAGGGACCAAAGAAGCTCCCTCTGGCATCTTACGAGGGTAGCCATTCCATTCCTTAGAGTGAGTGTTTGTTAGTTAATCATAGCCTATGGATTCTATCTCTTAATACAAGTGCATTGAGGAATAGAGTTCAACATATGAATTCAGGGAACACCCAAACCTTCAGTCCCTAGAGGGCCATCATTGTGTTCTGTTACATGCAATGTGGTAGATGTTTTAGCCTGTATGAGTTTTTATATCCCCACTCAAGAAATATCCTACAAATTAAAAATAATCTCTTTGTTTTATTTTGGAGTTTGGGGTACTTGGAATTGATCCCAAGATCTCATGTGTGTTGAGCACACACTCTCACCACTGAGCTATAGTGCCATATTCTCATTTTTGAAGTATTTACATACATAGAAAGCACAATCCCTCACATGCCGCTTGATACATTCTTGCTTATATGCACCCCCGCCTTGAGCTTCTTAGTCCAGATGCCTTCAGATTATAATCGCTTTTACCAACACAGAAAAGTAATTCTTTTAAGACAGTTTCTAAACATTTAAAAAAAATGTATTCCATTAAGTTTACTTGGCCCACAAAGGGTGCTGGCCCTGGCCCCTGTGTTGTATAGACACGGGCCTTGCTAGGGTGAGAGTGGAAAGCCAATAGCGTGTGGGCAAAACCCGACAGGTTCAGGGTGTAGGACTGGAAGGGAGGAGGAGTGTAACTGGGTTTGGTTTGGAGGGGGAAATGAGAGGCTTCCAGGAAGCTGTGAACTTTTCAGCTGGGAACAGAGAAGTGATAGTTGACCCGCTATAACAAACGGGAGGAAAAGGGAAGGCGTTCTCCATATGGAAGACACATCTGAAGTCACTGGCTCAGAAGAGCAGAGAAACAGAGAACTGAAGTCATTATAGATGGTGTTTGGGGTGCTGGGACCATCAAGTGCTCAAAGGTCAACTCTTGGAGGCTTGCAGCACTGCTGTGAGGACAAACTTTGAAGGCAGTCATAGCAAGGAGAGAACTGAGGTGCTGGACAGTTGTGAATGGGTGGGCGCATGGACATACACACTCAGGGACAGATTAACTCCCCTGGGTGGTAATGATGGATTGAGGGGAGAATTAGCGCACTTTGTGTTTGGCAGGGGAGATTCATGGATGACTCTTGGTTTTCTTAAGGAAATGGATGACGAAAGCATTGGAGGTGTGGAGGAAGAATCTAGTCTATGTGATGCTTTGGGCTTTTTGAGGATGACTGTATTTCTTTTTGATTGACAGCAGCAATTACACCTGAAGGGAGGGCCATGTGAGAAGTCATTACACCTGTAGGTATGCAATGATGAGTTGAGGGTAATAAACTTAGTGTTTCTTCATGTTTCTGATGGGAGGGCTGTGTGATAAGTCATTACACCTATAGGTATGCAATGACGAGTTGAAGGTAATTGACTTAGTATTTCCATTTCCTTGTACTTTCTTTGTGTTTCCTGCCTTCTGGTCCTTCATAAACATGGAGCAGGGTGCTGTGGGGAGCAGTTACACTCCTTGGTGCCATACGACATTAGAACTTCTCCCTCCCATATAACTGCACTTTAGAACCTCATGTCCAGCTTCTCTTCCCCTGATATGGCTCTTCACTTTGTTTCTTAAGACAGGGTCTCACTATGTGGCCCTGGCTGGCCTGAAACTCACTACCTAGATCGCACTGACCTTGAACTCAGAGATCCTCAGCCTCAGCCTCCTGAGTGCTGATTTTAAAGGTGTGCACCACCACACCTGGTGCATCTCATTTTTGAGACAGCGTCTCACTCTGGGCTGGCCTGGAAGTCACTCGGTAACGCAGACTGACCTTGAACTCAAAGCAAGCCCCTCTTGACCCCATCTCCCGAGTACTGCAATTGCAGCAAAAGCCGCCACATCTGGCTTTGACCCATCCCTTTGGAGACCCATGTAGCTTTGCTTGCTAGTTAGCATGTGGGGCATTTGGAAATAGTATATACTGGGAAACCCTCTGAAACGCCGAGTGATCGAACACATCCTCTGCTGGCTCTGTCACTTGACGGGAAACCAGGTAGGAGGGAGATACAGCTCTGGAACTGCTGGGTACAGATGTGAGTCACAGTGTGCAAGAGCAGCGGTAGCCTGGGTGAGATCCGAGGAGCACCAAGAAGAAAGAACTGTTAAAGTTGTATCTTTATTTTAAAATTTCAAATTTGAAAGATGCTAAAATTTCTTTGGCATGTTTGAGTTCGTTCCTTCTCTCTTGTGTACAACTCGACAATCGATTCGTGTCCTGTCTGCTCTGGTTTTGGAGGTTTTGCTGACCTACTGAAGCCCCTCCCTTTAAGGGGACTCCGTATCCTAAAGGACCCACACCGTTGACACTGGTTCACCGCCTTCAGCTCCAAAACTAAGGACTGAAAATCCTAGTCAGCTCCATTCTGCGGATAAGTGGACTGTAGCCTCAGAAAACGCAGAGCGCTTAACTTAGCATGTCCAAAAAACTGTATTAGGAATGGATTTCTAAGTATTTGAACTTGTTGTGTGGAGCAGCTGGAAGTGTGTGTCCTCTGTGTCTCATGTGCTGCAATGACATAAACGCAATTACTGTACTTGCAGCTGACTCGGGGAGGGAAGAGCTCTTAGGAGCCATGTGGCTTTGTTTTGCTTTTTGTTTTTCTTATCCTTTTGTTGTCAGCTTCCCAAGTTTCTTAGCTGTCAAAAAAGAAATTAGAGCATCATGCTTTGTTTTGCTGTGATCATGGAAAATCCATGGTGAGTGAAGAAAACTTGGAGAGGCTTCACTCTTATTGCTGTTCAAAGCGAAGACTTGGCTGTGTGTGAGGATGAAGTCTGGTGGGAAGGTCCAGGGCTTTGGGTGTAGAGAAGGCACTTAGTGGATAGATGGGTTAGGAAGGTGGACAGGTTGATGGGTGAATGAGGTGATAGATGGTGTGTGTGTGTGTGTAAAAACACATTAAAAATGGATATGCAGGCCGGGCGGTGGTGGTACACGCCTTTAATCCCAGCACTCGGGAGGCAGAAGCAGGTGGATCTCTGTGAGTTCGAGGCCAAGCTGGACCGACAGCCTCCAAAACAATACAGAGAAACCCTGTCTCGTAAAACCAAAAAAAAAAAAAAAAATGGATATGCAGCCCCACGCCCCATGTAGCTCAGTGGCAGAGTGCATGCTTACCTGACATCAGTTAAATTCTCAGCCCTGCACATGTGTGTGCAAGCTCCCATGGACACACACACACACACACACACACACACACACACACTGATGGGTGGGCTGTCAGCCGAGTGGATGAATGAATGGGTGGATATATAAGCATGCAAGGTCAGGGAAAATGGATGGGAGGATGAATGAATAGAAGGATGGCCCGGCATGGATGGGTGAATGGATGGATCAGCCAGTGGATGCGTAGGTAAAAGAGCAAAATGAAAACATGCTGTGAGCGTTCTGCCTAAGGAAGGAAAAAGCAGATTTTCTTTAAGAAATAACATTTCCCCTGAGCCGTGCCGGGTGAAGATGGACGTTATAGATGCTGGGCTTCATTCCTACAGTGCTCTTCTGGGAATTCTCTGCTGTCTTGGGCCCCTTGTGGATAAGGGAGGCATTACTTACCACACTTGCTGCTCTGTGGTAGGGACCACACTGTCTCATGACCATGAGCATGTGAGAACTGTAATGTGCTGTGAGAATTCATGTTCATTGTGGTTAGGTAGTGAATTATACTTTGTGGTTGCCCTTAAATCTGTCATGACCGCACTTCTGCTCTGCTAGGGACATCCCAGTCATTTCTGCATATGTACAAGACATTGGCAGGCCTCTTTCTGAGAAAACAAAACAAAACAAAAACAAAAAAAGCAAAACTCCTGTCTGCAGTAGTCAACACAGTGGTCTTTGTCTTAATCCTCCTGCGTGCATAGTGTGTGAGAGAAGTTCATCTCCAGTGTGTCAAACCTGTGAATCATTCATTAGGACAATATGAAGAGGCACACAGAAATAACTTCAGTTTGATACAAGAGAGATATAACTGATGCCACAGGGAAGATCGAGCTAGCTACATCAGGAAGGGCGAAGGTGGTGGGCTCATGGATGATGGACTCTGAGGAAACTCAGCTTCATGTTTCAAAGAGTGAGGCACAGAGAGGTGATCTGAAGTTGCTCACTGTTGAGAGCAAATCCTGGTGGCTTGCTTTCCGGTCCCAGGGCTAGCTAGCCAGTCTCCAATGGGATCCACCTCTGCTGACATCTGCTGGTGCGGACAGTGATTTCAGACAGTTGTTTATGTGGTCGCTGTTGACAGTGCTGTTGCTGATGCATTCTGTTCCCGCATATTCTGTTCAGGAGGCATTACTGTTGCCATGTCTGCAGATGAGACAGGAAGCCTGTTGGGATTTACTATGGTTTAGACGTGCCTTGTCTCACACAGTTCATGTGTTAGAAGCTTGGTACTCAGTACGCTGATGTTAAAAAGTAGTAGGGACATCAAATAAGTGGGTCTTGAGGGAAGATTTCAAGACCGACTCATCCCTGCCTGCTAACTGTGAGTCTTGCTATGGGTGCTTTCTCTTTCATGAGCCCCTCCCCCACTCCCTCCCTTTTGTATATTTCTGCCTTTGGAATGCCGTCTGTCATAAATTCCTCATGAGAATCTATCATTCCCACACACCATACCTTTTGAAGCTTCCCAACTGTGAATTACATAAACATCTCTTATTTGGGAAGCTCTCAGAGTCAGGTGTTTTGTCATAGCAAGTAGCACATCATGTACACATTGCCACTCTCCGCCCACCCCACACTCGCTGTTGATCCTGGCGGAAGCGCAGGGGACCCCCTACTCAAGCCTAGGTTGCATCCTTGCAGCATCAGTGTGAGCTGTGGCTGAGCTGGCACTCTGCTGTGTCCTTGCATCAGGGACATCAAACGGGTGAAGGTGACACCTTAGCCAAGAATCAGTGGCGGTTCTCTGGGTGCAGGTCGTCCAATCCCTGTAAACCTGAGTCTTTGGAGCCATCAGCAGGGAGACAATAGCTGCGGTCCTTTCTAATCAGTTTGCCGGGTCTACGGCCATACCACCCTGAACGCGCCCGATCTCGTCTAATCAGTTTGCCGGTTCTCTCTAAAGCATTTATGCAGTGTCTGATATAATGCAAGGAGCCAAACAGTTAAAAAGCTTATTGGAAATCATACTTTTTTTCTTCTGTGTCCACTTAACCTTTTACCAAAAAAAGACTGAGATGCAAAATAGAAAGAGAAGTGACTTTTGAAATGGCAGTGTTGCTGAGGCATCCGCTCACACGTTCATGTTAATTACCAGCCGCAGACAGTCAGCCTCTCTCGGAATTGCATCTCTGCTCTGGGGACTTCTGTGAGACCTCGGCAATAATGGAGAAGTCTTCCACACTGAGCCTGGTGCTTGGTTTTGTTTGGGAGATGACAGATAATTTCTATTCAAGACAGGTGACAATACTGTCTAAAGGAGGCTGTCCAGCGCAGGTGACTGGGGGAGGGGAAGAGCGCCGGAAGGCTAGAGATCGTGTTTATGAGTGAAGAGAGTACAGACCTGTGGCCAAGACCACTTGAGGCCATTTTACATGCTGGTTGCCTCAGACTGAATTGTTTTCCCTTTGTGCCTCAGTTTCCTCATCCACAGAATGGAGACTGTTTGTTATTTCCTCTATCAGCTCCCTGCATGCTTAACTCCCCTGGGATTTGGGTTTTTCATGAGTCAGTGGTGACAATGGGACCTTCCATACCTGGGGGTAGACATTCACATCAAGCTTTGGCCACAGATGCACTCTGAGTACTGGTTTCATCTCTACATCTCGGGTGTTTCCTTCCCCTTCTTGACCTTGGGGTGAGGCCTGACTATGTTCCAGATAAGGAGAGGCAACACTGGGGCCGGGAAAGCCAAGTTCACGGACTGTGATTTCCTTCTTTGTGGCACTGCTAGCTCAATTTCTCACTGACCTGCTTCATTTTGCCAAGTGACCGCCTGGTCAGCAGATAAGCGCTGTATTTCTCCATGGATCTTTCCATTCTGGTAGAAATAGGTTATGTCACACGCGCCTTGGTCAAGTGGGGATGGGTCTTAATGGCGAACCGGGAATGTACTTTATTGACAGTTACTGTGCAGAGTGAGGAGGAGGAAGAACTGGATCCATCACCCTGAGACTGACTTTCTAGAATTCAGGAGCAGGGACTGTGTGGAGGGAGTCTGTGCTCTGATCCTCAGGGCTCTCCTACAGGGAGGGGAAGGGCAGGATCATGACTTTGGCTGAGGTCTGTTTAAATTGAGCACATTAGGTAGAGGGTAGCATACCACACGTGGTTCTGGATTACGGCCTGGGATCTTGCCCCAGCTGTGTTGGGAAGAGACTGGCTCATCTCCTTAGGGACTCCTGTGTGCCTTCATCACAGCAACCAGCGCTTATTTAGGTTATGCAGAGTCCTTCATGCCATGCTCTCGGTGTCACTGCAGAAATGAAATCTAACACAGTTAAAGTTGTTTATATGCACACCAACAGCTTAACAAATAGCAGACTAAACAAATACGTGTTTGTGACGGGAGTAATTTTTCTTCTCTTTGCCAGTGGGAACGATGAAAAATGTTTCCAGGGCTGGAGGATGTAGCTGAGTGGTAGAGCGCTTTCGGGGTTCAATCCTCAGTGATGAAAAGAAAAACAAAACTCAAGCCTTTTGTCAATGACATTCGAGTGCTGTAACGTGCATAGAAAAACCCAGCAACATCCATGGCTCACAGAACCTATGTTCTCTACTTTAGGTGTTGTGTAGCTCAGCCAACCCAACACGTGCAAAGCTTTCTAGAATATTCTATCTTATGAAGTTTCCCAGAGGCAACACGGAGGGTTGGAAAGAGCACATTAAGAAAGAAGGACCTGAGTGCTGGGTCTGTGTGCCTCAAGTCACTTGCCCCTGCTGGGCCTCGAGTTTCTCTTTGGTGGAATCGGGCTCCTTGGCTCAGCAAGGCTGGCTTCCTGTGCTGTGTCCTTCCTTCCTTTTACATTCCGGGCTCCGAATTTATTAAGTGTTCACTGTTGGCCTAATTTCCCAATCACTGAGCACGACATGATGGAGACGAAAGTCATGACTATTTATATTAAACTGTTTTCATTATTTCAGGGGGAAGGCGGGAAAGAGCTGTATGCATGAAGCCCTAATTACAGTAATATGGTACATTAGATTACAGCTCTCTTTTGCCCTGATTTATTGATGATCATAGCCCAAGAAAGCCAAGAGTTTTCTCTCCATGCTTCCATGGCCCATATCCGACATGTCTAACCAGAGACCTGTACTCATGAATGAAAAAACAAAAAGGGACTGAAATGACAAGCCGTGTTTCTGAAATCGCCAGTGAGTGACACGGCAGGGTCTGTACCCACTTCACGCAGCAATCAAAATGACAAGCACGCTTTTGTGTGCTGGCCTCTTCTCCCTTGCTCTGCATTTGGTGGTCAAGGTCCGTAGGGACTGTTCTCCCCAAATCTAGGGACATGCCCCTAAGAGGCACCACACTAGGCCAAGGAAACAGGGGAGAACATCTTTATAGAGCAGAAGTGTTTCTTAATTATTTATGGGGAAGATTTATTAGCCAAGAGTAAAAGAATGTCTAGTCTGGGGAAGGCTCAAAGATCTACCTACAATGATGGTCTTCTTCCCACCAGCGCCCCAGGATGATACAGAAAGCAGGTCTGTATATCCTGCCTCTCACCCTCTATTTATGAAGGACTGAATCTGGAGGTTCCACCCTGTTAATCTCATCCTAATCTTCATCACCTCCCGCAGACCCCACCTCTAAGCCTCGAGGTTGAATGGTGATTCACTCTCCTAATAACACAGTAGGGATTACATTTCAGCCTCTAAAGCCTTGGGAGACTTATTCTCCTGCCATGCAAACACAGGTTCCAGAGGTCCACAGCACACTGAGCAAGAAGATCCAAATATCAATCCCAAGTGAAGGCATCCTCCACATAGAAGGCAGCAAAGAACAAAAATACCTGTGGTTCTTGCCTAGCACAGATGCTATTAATATAGTGTTAGCAGAGAACCCACTATGGTGCCACTGGACAGTGCTTCATTCACAGAAAGGAGGCAACATGCCATAAGACCAGCATGTGTGGTAGGTCCAAGTCTCTGATGGTCAAGTTCCTCTTAGCAGCTGACAGAAAGCATCACACAAAAAGAAAAAAGTGAATGTATAGGAAGTGAGGAAAGAGAGACAGGGAACACAAAAGAGAAAGGCTAAAGAGGGAGACTCCAGTCCCAATACTAGTGATTACATTAAATGTAAATGGTCTAAATATACCAAATAAAAGACAATTGACAGAGTGGATTTTAAAACATCATTTACCTATATGATGTCTATAAGAATTCTACTCCAGACATAATGATGTAGAGTAAAATGATACAAGAATTATACAATACTAATATTGATTCTAAAAGGAAAAATTATTACAATTGCTAATAACAAATTAAGTTATCTCAGGTCAAACAAAACAAGACAGAAACAGAGAAGGACATTACACCAGGAAAACGTGCACATACCAAACATAGAGTGCACACAAAAATTGGTAGAGAAATAGATAAATGCACAACTCTAATTGGAGACAACATAAAGATTTAATTTTAAAAAGTTATGGGTCTGTATGTGTATTTGTGTATGAGTTTGTACACATAAGTGCAGGCATTCATGGAATGCAGAAAAGGACATTGGATCCCCTGGAGCTTGAGTTATAGGCATTTTGGAGCGGCCTTAGATGGGTGCTAGGAACTGATGTCCGTCACAAGTGCTATACATGCTCTTAAAAACCGAGACATCTCTGCAGTCACCACAGTTGGAGACTTCAATACTATCTCTCAGCATCAAATTAAATAACTATTTGAAATAACTATATGCAAACAAGTATAAATGTAGGCCAGAGTAAACACCAACATTTATAAAATACTCCATAAGCAGTAGAATACACGTCATGTTCGAGCACCTAAGGGAACATGAGTGGAGATACGCTGTGTCTATGTGATGAACTAACCTGAAAGAACTGAAAGTTTAAATGTGTTTCTCTGATAAAAATAGAATCAGACTAAAAAGTTGATAATAAAATATTTAAACCCTTATAGGCCAAGTCTTACATTGTAAAATAACTTCTGCATTAAAGAGGATATCTCAAAGGAAATAAAAATACATTAATATGAATCAAAATGAAAATGCAACATATCAAAGTTTATGGAACACAACCACATCAATTCTGAAGGGGAAATTTGCACGGATGCCTCTCAATTTAATATTCTAAACCTTCACCTCAAGAAACTAAAGAAAAACAATATCTATATTTTTAAAAAAGGAAGAAAAGGCTGGAGAAAGAAGAAAGCAATAAAGATACAATTAAAAATGTTTGACTTTAGGGTGCTGGGAAGATGGCTTGGTGGATAAAGCAGCTGTTGCACAAGTGTGGGCATTGGCATTCAGATCCCCAGGACCCAGGTGAAAACCGAGTAAGTGTGGAAGTCCACCAGTAATACAGCTGTTGGGAGGCAGAGACTAAGGATCTCTGGACCAATCTGGCTAACTAGACTGGCCAAATCAGCAAGCGCTCCAGTTTCTTTGCTCAGGAAGTAAAGCAGAGAGTGATTGCAAAAGATGCCCAACCCCAACCTCTGGCCTTCAAAGGTACATACATACACATGTGTACACATACCCTCACACGTGTGAGCACGCATACACACACTCTCATACAGAGCATACACATGCAATTTTAAAGGTTTATTTTAGTGTATGTGTGTGTGTATGTGCGTGCGTGTGTGTGTTGGTGGGGGTATACTTACCTGAGGGAGGGTGCCTGAAGAGATCAGAGGTGGTGGATCCCCTGAAACTGGAATTAGAAGTAGTTGTGAGCCACTCCATGTGAGTGCTGGGAACCAAACTCAGGTACCTGCAAGAACACTACACACTCTTGACTACTGAGCCATCTCTCTAGGCACACACACTCAAATGTGTCATTACATGCATGTGGGTATTAGAGGACAACTCATTCTAGTCAATTCTCTGCTTCTACCATGTGGGCTCTGGGGATTCAACTCAGGTAGTCAGGCTTTGAGTCATCAGCCTTGCCAACTAGTACCTTTACCTGCCAGATTGTCTTGTCAGCTCCTCCCCCAGTTTTGTTTCAATTCTGTGAATTTGGAAGCAGGGAAAAAGTGTGTGAAAGACAATGAAATAAATACCTGATTCTTCAAACACAACAATAAAAAAAGAAACTGGTCAACAAGACAAGGGCAGAAACTGTTAGTCTCCTAACAAAACAACACGCTACAGCTCCTGCAAATGCTAATGACAATTGCAGGAGCTACTCCAGTCAAGGAAATGAAACATAGATGAAACAGACAAGTTCCTGAACAAAAAGAAAAAGAAACAGACATGCCACAACAACTTCCCCTGTGCTGGATTGAGTTGCCAACCTGAAACAAACTATAGCCATCTCAGAAGAAACCTCAGCTGAGACGTTTCCTCTGTGAGGTGGTCCTGTGGCGATTTCTTGATTAATGATTGGTGTGAAAGGGTCCGGCCCACTGTGGACAGTGCCACCTCTGGATACATGGTGGTGACTTTGTAAGGAAGCAAACTGAGCAAGCCGCGAGGATGGAGCCAGTGAGCAGCTTTCCTCTATGATTCCTGCCTCCGTTTCTGCATGAGTTTCTGCCCTGACTTCTCCAATAATGGACTGTAAACTGTAAGCTAAATAAACTCTTTCCTCCTCTGGTTGTTTTGGGGTAGTGTTTCAACACAGCAAAAGAGAATGGCCTCGATATGAAATAGATCCCTCAAATAGCTCTGTAATTCTTATAATTGATTCCTAATTTAAATTCCATCCAAAGAGAAATCACAAGTCAAGATGGTCTCACTGAAAAAAAAATGCTACTGAAATTTTAAAGTAAAATTGACACCAGTTCTATTCAATGACTTCCAGAAAATATAGAAAAGAATATTTTCATTTTTTAACGAGGCCACATTGCCCCAATACAAAAACCAGTCAAGAAAAATACAAGGAACACACCATAAAAATAAGTAAAATACTGAATCCAACAATGTATGAGGGTGTTATACATGTATCATGATTGATTGAGGTTTATTTCAGGTGTGGAAGGCTGGTTCAATTTATTAAAGCCAATCAATGGAATATACCATATCAGCAGACTATAGAAGATGACTCACATCATCATGTCACCTGATGTAGAAAAAAATATCTGGCAAAACCCAATACCCATTTGTATTCAAAACAACTAGAAAATATAAGGCGTATAGTAGGAGTTTTCCCAACTGGGCATCTGGATGTCCAGAGAGTCTTAGAAGTAACAACACATTTCATGTTGAAAGACTGGATGTTTCCCTCCCCTACCCTGCTTCCACCCCTGTGCTCTCAGTTTTTGTCAACCTGACACAAACTGCAGTCATTTGGGAAGAGGAAACTTCAATTAAGAAAACCCTTCTACCAGATTGTCCTGTGGGAAGCCTGTGGTGTATTTTCTTGATTGATGATTGATGTGGGAGGGCCCAGATCTTGGTAGACAGAGCTACCTTTGGGTTGGTGGTCTTGGGTTCTATGAGAAAGTAGGCTGAGCAAGCCATGGGGAGCAATACTTGACCTCTGTATTAGTTCCTGCCTCCAGGTTCCTGCCCTGCTTGAGTTCCTGTCCTGACTTCCATTGTTGATGAACTGTAAAGTAATAAGCCAAATAAACCCTTTCCTCCCCAAGCTGCTTTGGTCACGATGTTTTATCACAGCAAGGGAAACACTAACTAAGAGCCCCTAAGATTAAGGAAGTAAAGAAGTCTATGTTCATTCCCGGCTAAGAAAAATAGTACAGGGCACTCTTGCCTCTGTAATAAGACAAGAAAGAGAAATGCAAGACTCACTAATCACAAAGTAAAGAATAAAAATATGATTTGCAGATGGCACACCTATGTAAAAATCTTAGCCAGGTGTTGGTGGCGCACGCCTTTAATCCCAGCACTCGGGAGGCAGAGGCAGGTGGATCTCTGTGAGTTCAAGGCCAGCCTGGTCTACAGAGCGAGTTCCAGAACAGGCTCCAAAACAATACAGAGAAACCCTGTCTGGAGGGAAAAAAATCTTTTTAAAACTTTCCTAGAGCTAGCAATGATGTAAGGGACAAGATTAAATCTGATGAAGTGGCATTCACGGCTAAGCCCGATGACTTGTGTTGGACACACATGATGGAAGAAGAGAACTGACTCTTGAGCATGTCTGTGACCTCCACATAACATGCCATAGTACAAACTCTCCCCAACATGAAACAAAGAGAAAATTTTGAGATACAAGATTAATGAAGAAAAAATAATAAACACTTAGAAACTAGAATTAAGAATGTAAAACCATTTGTAGTCATGAACAACACTGAACTACTAAAGTCAATATAAAATACTTTAGCGAGCTGCAAAATACTGATAAAAGAAATCAATGACAACTTAAATCATTGGAGACACTCACTGTTTTCATAGTTTTGAATAACCAATGTGGCAAAGCAAAGTCTCTTGAAATTGATACTTATTTTAATGTAGTTTCCTACCATATTCTCAGGATGATCTTCTTGTGGATAAAGATAAGATTATGCTAAAATGTACAAGGAAAGACAAAAAGAATGGTTTAAACAATTTTTTAATTAAAAAACTACAATATGCTCACATCCTTTTCTCCTTCCTTTTCCTCCCTCCAAACTCTTCCATGTACACCCTACCCTTGCTCTCTTCCAAATCCATGACTTCTTTTTGTTTAATTATTGTTACATGTATGTTCACTCACATTCCTAAATGTGTAAATACACCGTGCTCAGTCTACAGAAAACAATAAAATGGAGACGGAGCCAGATGGAGCTCTGCAAGTTCTAAGTCGACCTGGTCTACAGAGTGAGTTCTATGCCAGCTAGGGATACATTATTAAAGGAATAAAATGGGTTAATTACTCTACTTTATTTCAAGATTAATTACCTACAGTCCTCGAGCCTGCAGAATACTGATAGAGGATGGACTCTTGGGTCAATAGAGCTGAATAGAGAACTGAGTTGATCTGCCAAGCATGACAACAGATCTTGGGCAAGCATAGTAAAACAGTTCAATGGAAGAATGATTTGTTTTTTCTGTAATTGATTCTGGAGCAATTGAGTGTCCACAAAAAAGGTGGATCTTTACTTAAATCTTCTTCTTCTTCTTCTTCTTCTTCTTCTTCTTCTTCTTCTTCTTCTTCTTCTTCTTCTTCTTCTTCTTCTTCTCCTTCTTCTTCCTCCTCCTCCTCCCCCTCCCTTTCCCCCCTAAGACACTGAGGCAGCAGGATGGGCTAGAAAAATGCTGTGCTTTGCCATGGAGCAAAGGCCCCTGGGTATCAGTCACTCTGGGGACTTATCTAACCAGGTGTAATGGACTGACAAGTCACCTGACGACTCTCCAAGCCACTCTTCTGTTTCCAAGGACTTGAGAAAGCTAGGTATATGTGGAATCCAAGTATTTGTTGTTTGGTGTTGGCTTTATTCCCTTAGTCTAAAGTTCTCAAGGTTCATCCCTGTTACACCATGTTATAGTTTAAATCTGAAATGCTCTCCCAAGCCCATAGTTGAAGACGTGGTTGCCAGTCTGTGCCGTTAGTGCAGATGATAGAACACGTAGGAGCGTGGCCTAGAGGAAAGAATCACAGTCGTTGTAGGGGGTCAGTGTGGTCAATATGCCCTTGAAAAGGAATACTGTGACCCCTGCTCCACCTCCCTCCACCTAGCACCTCTGTATAGTGAGTGCTTTTCTCGGATCGCTTCACAATGTTCTGCTCTCAAGCAACCATGGACAGAGCCGTAAACCAAAATAAACCTTTCTTCCTTGAAATGGATTTTTCTCAGCTATTTTGTCACAGCAATCAAGGCTGAAACAGGAAACTGGTACAGACGTGGGGTGGTTGCTATGGCTATAGAAAATGATCTAGCTTTTGGAACTAGTTTGTGGGCTTAGCATTATTAAAAAAGAAGGCAGGTGTGGTGGTTTGAGAGAAAATGGCCCCCCAAGGGAGTGGCACTTTTGAGAGGTATGACGTCATTGGAGTAGGTATGGTCTCGTTGGAGGAAATGTGTCACTATGGAGGTGGGCTTTGAGGTGTCATATATGCTCAAGCTTTGCTCAGGGTGATGCACCATCCACTTCCTGTTGCCTTCTGATCGAGATGTAGCCAGCACCAAGTCTGCCTGCACACTGTCATGCTCCCTGTTACGATAATGAACTGAACCTCTGAATCTGGAAGCCATCACCTCCTTTATACCAGTTGCCATGGTCACGGTGTCTCTTCACAGCACCAGAAACCCTAACTACGACAGCAGGCATGCTGGGCATCATGGTGTGTGTCTGTAATCCCAATATTTGTGAGGCTTAGGCAGGAGGATTGCCATGAGTTTGAAGATCAGCAGGGAGTATATAGCAAGTATCACTCCAGTCAGGGCAACAAAACCCAACACAACACAAACACTAAACAAAAGCACTTTGTTTCAGAACAACAGGAAAAAAGGCTTTGAGGGCATCTCAGGAGTCAGAGGCTGAGAAGTATAGAAATGTGAATTCATCTCAAAGACTGGTTTGAGAAGAAAAAGAGACCGGAGACATCCAGTTCACAAAAAGACCTAGGGAGATTTTCACCAGGATTTGTCCTGCCATTCAGCTACCCAGGAACTCTGAAGCTATTTTAAGCAGACTTCGGCTACTGCTTCAGCTGGTGGCAGAGTTGGCAGTATCCACATGATGCTAGCTTGCAGTCATGTAGAATATGAGCGCCGTGGGGCCGTAGAGGCTTCCACTGAGCTTCTGAAGTAGCAAGTCAGGGGTGTC